CTAGTGATTAATAAGTTTCTAATTTATGCTGGCAATTTACATATCAACCATAACAAACCATAAAGACTGGACACAGGAAAAAAAACCTTTGGATTTTAAGGTTTTAAAACAACATTGCAATCTGTGTAGTATACAGAAGATAAATGAAGCTTAAACAGTATATGAAGGGAAATCATGACATGGTTGCCTCCAATAACACAGAAATGAACTCAATGATCTTGGTGAAATGCCCTCTAACTTCTGTCTCCAACCTTCCTCAAGACTTACCATGGATATGATTCAAAACAAGGAAAACATAACATGAATAGTGAAACTTGTGCTTCTCCTATACACTTTGCCTTTACTTTCTAACTCTTCCCCAAATCCTTATTTCATTTTCCTTTCCACTTTCCCTCATACACCTGCATGTAAAGGCTGAGGAACAAAAGGAGTATCTATTCATACTTCAGAAGTTGTTCTTCCAGGGCAGTTTGCAGTAAGCACATAGGCTGTGCCTTCACTTGTGCACTCCCGACACACATCAGCCTGAAGGTATTAGAGTCACTCATTTAATTGTTAAAAGGACAATCCATCCCACTCAGTCTGTACATCTCTCCAAAAAAATGATGTAAGAAACAGAATGGCTTAAGAGGCCAAAAGTAACTGTGACTTGAAAGACAAGTTATATAAGTTATTTATATCCCGCAATGACAGGCATCTGAGAAATACATATTAGAAAGCTTACATAAGAGTACATATGACAAGGCAGCCAGTGTACAGCAAATACAGAGTTTGCTGAACTGGAAGAGTCAACCTCAGACTGTATGTGGTACATTCATGCAGTATGTGTTCGCCTCAGGAAGAGTGAATTCTGTTTGTGGATCTCCAAAAAAGGCAGTTTCACCAATCTCTCTTCACAGAGAGTTCTCCCCAGGTTACTGCCAGAACAGTGAGCAGACATGCTCTTTTGTAGAAAAAGTGGTCTACATTGTGATGTTGGCTCCAACTGCAGTTGTCCTTTGTCCCTTGTCAAACTGGATTACTCAGTGCTCTCTAGCCAGGGTGAAGCAAATGCATTCCTAGCTGCAGCAACAAATGGCATAATTAGCTGTGCTTCCCTCTGCTGAGTTGTGCCACTCCATAATCTGCTCTGGCTTCTCTCTGCTCCCACACACAATTAATAGAAAGGGTACTCACAGAGAAAGGTTTTACATGTAAGTATATAATCTGGGATGCTGAAAACCACTTCTCTCCTTAAACTGTACCGATCTGGACAGTTGGCAGCTCTCAAGAGAAAACATGGGAAGCACTGTGTGCATGATTGATACCACTGATACCAAACCAGCTCCACAAGTTACACCTAAATATAATGCCGAAGATCAACACATACTTTTCACTTGTCCTTACAGAAATTTAACTGAAGACAAGTTGATGCTAGAGATTGTAACTCCAAAACTCAAAGAGCTAAATCAGACTCATAGAAGTCTTGCCCTATTAGATTAACCTTAAAAGAATATTTTGTGAATTCTATCAAGTTTTACTACTGAAAGGCTTAAATGATGTAATAAGGCAGACATGTTACTAAAACCAAGGCATTACACAGTATCTTGCAGAGTTCAGGTCTCACTAGTTGTAAATGTTTTAACCCAGCATAAACATTACATTACTGTTCTAAAATGTTTTGGTATTTATTTTATGTCTCTAGTCTAATAGAGTATCATAAATATATTATTACTTTCTCTACTCAATTCACACACAAAAAAATCCAAAATATAAAAACTCACTTGTCTTAAGCAATTAATAGCATTTATAATTTAAAATACAAGTAGGTATAAGAATTACTGCTTGGATGATCCAGTAGCCCTTAAAACCACCAAAACCAATACAACCTTATCTGTATATTCACTAGATACCAAAGTAAAAATATATGGGAAATTAACTTGTAAGAAGCCCAACAAAAACATAGGATCTTAACTCCTATGAATTCACTGAGAGGTGAAACTTACACAAGTTGTATCTTATCATACAAAATTAACATTGTTAAAACAGCACAGTTTAAGTAATTCCTAAGCAGAGTAGCCTTAATGTTACTAACCTGTGAGAAAACTGCTACAAAGTTTTGTAATCCTCTACTGTTGACAAGTATTCAGAGATTCTCAAGAACTAGAAAACAACATTCTTTTGCCTGTTCTTCAACAGAATAATAGAAAAAGCATGTTCTCTTTTAACCTCTTACTACATACAATGATCAGTTGAATTTCAGATCCCCTGTTACAAAGATTCCTCTGATATTTAAAGTAAAACATTACATTTCATACCATCAATAAATTTTGATTGTATTACATGCCTCATGTAGAACAAAGTAAGTGTAACTTTGCAGGATCAGGGCTTACTTCCAACTGCTGTGTAACAGCACAAGCACTGAAGATACAACAACACTCTGCAGATTTAACAGCAGATGCCAGTTTTCACTGGCAAATAAAAACCCCTGTACTTCTCGTAAGATCTAACGTCACTAATTTTTTGCTTAAATTGATAACAATTGTCATGACACACACCCTATCGCTGTGTGCAGCTCTGAAGTCTCTGGAAAGCAAGAAGCAACTTGTGGAAAACAGTAAGAACATTTAAAATCAAACTAGATATAAGCAACCTTACTTTAAAATGTCTTCCCCATAGAAAGTCACTTACAAACACGTACTGCAGACCTACCTGTTCTCCAGCCACTGTACATGCTATTGTCTAACAACCAAGAGACAGTATTTTCAGATGTTTGTCTTCTATGGGTTTATTAGAAAAATAAATACTATCATTTTGTTCCTCCTAATAGGTTTGGGAATCTTACCTATTTAATGGCATGCTGCCCTAGCTAAATGATGAATCCTGTCTATTGCTTTTCAAATGCACCAACCTTCTCAAAAACACTGGATGGTGTCATCAAACAAAACCTGATGTTCTGAATGATGGTGTCCGTATGCCTCCAGCGTCTTCTATCATGGCGCAGCCAGGCCTGAACAGCTTCATACAGCTCTATCTCCGGAAACCTGCTCAGATGGTCATTATCCAGGTATGACATGAGCTTCTCAAAGCTCAGATAGGAAAGGAAGTCAGGTCTGGACATGAGTGGCACAAAATTTTCTAGCAGAAAGGAGTCCAATTTTTCCCTGACTCCTTCAATGTTTACACCGAAATCATCCAGAAGTCTCATAATTTCTGCACAGTTTTCTAAGCAGATTTTAGCTAAGAGAAAAGAGCAGCAAAACTTTACCACCTCTATAAGCTGGACATACATGGCAGCCTGAAGGATTTCATGAACAGTGTTCATACTCAGTTCAATAGTTCCATAGTACATGAACTGGAGGACATGACTGAAGCCTGTAGCTGTCAGACCTTTCAAATGGATTTTGTCCTGATCTCGTTCTCGCATGTCAGCTGTGAACATAATCCTGAAGTAATCACTCTGGGTGGCAAGCAGTGCTTTATGGGCCTGAAATTGGTGGTCTTCAATGACAAGTGTGACATCAAGAAGCAATCCCTCCTCATACAGTGCTCTGAATCCAGCAGAGACACTGGTGTCATGGATGGAGGAGCTAAACCCTTCCACGTCCCCTGCCATGAATCACCTGTGTCAGCTGTGAACATAATCCTGAAGTAATCACTCTGGGTGGCAAGCAGTGCTTTATGGGCCTGAAATTGGTGGTCTTCAATGACAAGTGTGACATCAAGAAGCAATCCCTCCTCATACAGTGCTCTGAATCCAGCAGAGACACTGGTGTCATGGATGGAGGAGCTAAACCCTTCCACGTCCCCTGCCATGAATCACCTGGGAGGAAAATAAATAAATTTTTTTTTATTGTAATTTCTAATAACATATTACAAGCCCTTCCTGACCAGACAAATCCTGAGACTGCTTTTATTAAGTCTTAAAAGTCTTCACCATCCTTTTTGTGTTCTTTCCAGCTGAAAAATCAACTTAGGAAACAACTTAGAACACAAACTTGAAATATTTCCCCCCCACAAAGCACTCTAATTTTAAAGACAAGGTAATGAACAAAACCAACTATGCAATACTGAAAAAAGGATTCCTCACTCCAAGCTACTTCTTGGTCAAATAATGAACTATAAAGGTTGTCATGGTTTTCTTCCTCTCCCCCCTCAATCTTTCTAAAGAATTTATCTCAGGGGAGCAATAAAACACCTACTCTTGAATATCAAAGGTTTCAGAAAGGAAGCCAAAACCTCCTTAACTTCAGAAAAAGCTCCAGTAGATCTGTACATGGTATAATCGAAAAAAAATATTTGTATGTTAAAAAACCTGTCAATTTACTCAAAAGTTATTTCTAGGAAAATTAACATTTTTTTGAAATATTGCTTAAGATTGTGTGTTTCACTTCTCCAGTAACAACATCATGTTCCCCCACGTTTCTTATGATAGCAATTAATATTAGGTTAATGAAGTGCAAAATACTACGGCAGTAGGAAGTGCTGACAAGAATAGGTCACAACAAATAATATTCTGTACACTGGGTTTAGTGAAGCTTAATTGCTCATTAAGCACTCGAACATTTGCAGATACAGTGTTACTTACGTGCAAGCTATAATCAAACTGTAAATAAACCAAGAAGAAATCTAAGAGTAGCAGGATCCTACCCTGTTAAAGTTAAGGAAGATAAATATTCAATAATCAAAATCAAAACCTATTCAAAATCCAGAAGTTTCTCCATACCAGCTTCCTTGGATTTAAGTAGGGTGAAGGTGTACAAGACAGCTTGAAAGAATCTAACAATTTATCAAAGTCAAAGAACAACAGCAAACTCCATTCTCCTCCTCTGTCCTCATTCTGGGATCTGAGCTCCTGCTGCCTACCTTGAGTCATTTCTGGGGCTCACTGGACTTCTCTAGAAAGCCAATTCAGCTCATAAACCTGGCAAAAAAAATAAGCCAAGAGCAGGGAAAGATGAACAGAACATGAAAAAGACACGACACAAACCTCACCACCCCCCAGCACACACAAAACCTCAGAACCTGAGAGCTTTCTGCTTCTCAGAGAACTGACTTCTGACTTGACACTGTGGGGGTTTGGCACAAGAACAGCCTGATTCAGAGGACAGGACACATGAGCAAATTTATCCCACCTTAAATTACACAGCAGCATTCTCTCAGTTATTTGTACATTTAACTCTGAATTTCCTATTACAATTAAAGCTAATAATGTTTTGGTACTGGTAGCCCACGTGAAAACCTAAATAATACCAACACACTAAAAACCTGCAGACTTTCAAGGTCATAAAACTTTACACAAGTATAGGGACCCAGAAGTGGCTCTAGGGTGGCCCACATGTCACATCTTCAGAGAGCAGTTACCACATTACTCCCACTTCCTGGGAGTTACAGTTACTGCCACTGTAACTGGAATGTATCCATTGATGGAGTCTAATAAAACAATCATCTCCTCTCCTTCATTCACCAGCACACATCCTGGAAAACAAAACTGGAGATATTCTTCATCTATGCAAAACTAAAATGGTGAGTGGGTGTTTGTAGCCACACCTCATGGAATTAGCACTGCCCCCACACCATGGAGGCCTGATGATGGGTTCTGTGCACAAGAAAGTCAGTGCTGGGAGTGTTCTTTACAATTAAGGCCTTATGACAAAATTCAAATTCCTGAAAGTAAGACCAGGAGCAAAAGAACAAAGATGACATTCCAATTGCTTTCTCACCAGTATACATGATAGCACATCCCCCTCAATGTCACTGAAGACAGACCATACAAACTATTCTGGACCTTCACATTGTGAGTCTTTTACCCCTCAACAGCAAATGCCTACCAGAAAGAAAAATTACCACCAAATATTCTCTTAGTTGTTGCCAATTGTTACATACAGAGCAGATGAAGAAAGAACTATATCACTAACCCTTACCACCTCCAAAAGAAGCAACAAACTGAAGAGGAAGCATCAACCCTGACTTTACAGGATTCTGTTTTCTAATAGGATTTCTTACATCTAATAACGAGGTAAACATTAATATTATTCGCTTTTTTTTTCTTCTTTCACTGGAGCACTTGTAACTCCTCCCCTCCCATCCCCAGTTCTCTGATGTTTAATTATAGCTGGGCTCATACCTCAGTCTTTCCTGTTTAACACACTTAATGATCACTTGCCTTTAAATGGGCCACTCATTTCCATAAAACATAGAGCAACTTGAAACAACTCTCAATTGTTTGAAATCAGCCAGGAGATTCAAAGGTTACTAGGATTCTCAGACAGTACAACTGTGTAAGTTACATTTCTTTAGGAGACCAACAAAGACTTGGCTCAGTTTCTGCTCCAAGACCAGTGTTAAAAATGGGACACAATGGCTGGAATTTGCAAATGTGAGAAATGTGAACAGAACAACACAATATACTGGGGGGGAAAAAAGGCAAAAATGAAGCAACATTCCCCACATGCTGACTGAAGTAACACATTAATCTGAAAATAATGGGATCTCCCAACACACAGGCTCATGAGGACAGCAATCTCATGGAAGGGATTTCTTCAAAACAGTATGTGTGTTACTGTGTATCTGAACAGCACAGAAGCACCACAGCAGCAAACACACACCAGGATCTTTGCCCTTACCCTGCAAAAGATAATTACACTAGAGGTGCTCCACAAATTAAAGGAGAAAAATTTACTTTTTACATACAATGACCCTAAAATCAAGGCCTCTCTCACCCCCCTCAAGGAAGCAAAAAGGAGAAGTTGGCAAGTGAAGTTAAGCACAGACAGATGGTAGAGGGTAAATGCACCACATCCACATAAGCTCCTCGAGTGTTTCTTTAAAGGACCAAAACAAATAAATACTCAAACCCAGAAAAAAACCCACCCCAACAAAAAAACAGTACCAGAGTTCTGGGCAATGGCTCTAGGTATGTGGATGGCCCAGATGACCTCCAGAGGTGCTTACAGCCTCTGCTAGTCTGTGATTCTGTGGTCACGTTGCTGTTACACAGAGACTGCACCAATTTATTTATTTATTTGTGCCCACCCTTTCAATTCTGATTAAATAGAAACAAGACACACACACAAATCATGTATAAGCTACTCTCCTTCAAATTTTAACTGTTTGTGGTTTTTAACAAAAAATAAGGTGTCAGGAATCACTGAAATGTTGACAAATAAAATACATCTGCATTTAGGGAGCATCTTGCAGGGTTCCAGTTTTTACATCTCCCTAAAACTGGCTATTCCATAAAGCTATTTAAAACTAGAAGTCAGCAGCAAATCTCTACAATGGTCTCTACATCACTCTGAGATTATTATTATTTCTCAATGTTTTAAAAATGTGGGGCTTTAAGTCACTTAATCCTTCTTTTCACATCCCTACTCAAATTACTTTTAGTAAATCTAGTTTTCAACATCAAAATATTTCTCCTCCCAAACATCAGACAGCATTTAATGGATTATTTAAGCAAACACAAAACCAGTAAGACTTCTCTCTACACCACCTAAAGAAGCTTCAGAATTCTATGAGTGAAAAGCAAAGGGCTACATGTCTTCCTGCATTAAATAAAAGGAGTAAACACCCCTTTTTCTAGCATAAAGGCATATACAATAGGAGCAGATAAATTTTCCTTTAAAGCAAAAAACCATATTTGCCAATGCTAAGACACAAAGGGGTTAAAATACTACAGAAACTGGGAAACTAGACAGTTAAATGCCTATTATGCTTAACTGGAAAAAAAAAATCTTCATTTCTAAAGCTAATATCTTCTGTCCAAAACAAATAGCAATGTGGTCGTTCAAATATTTTAAAAAAAAAAGCAACACAAAATACTCTCAAATGAAGTAATTTTTCTACAGCATAGCTATGCCATTCCTCCCACACACACACACTTGCAATCTTTGATGTAATTCTATGCACTGTTCAAATGCTGCAGCTTATTTCCCAGAGGACAATACAGAACCACTTTTTCTTCGTTATTTTCAATAAAAATGCAGAATTCAGTTAGATATCCTTCACACATGCAAATCACAGCAGCACACTTCATCCTAAGGAAGACATGTAGCCTGCAGTGGTCTGTAAGAAAACTGGCACAAAAAAATTCCAATGTATAAACAATAAGGGGGGGAGGCAATCTAAGTTGCCATTCGGCATTGTTCTGCGCATACGAGAGCTGATCAGGGTAATGCAGTGCAGGAAGTAAAGGCTCTAAGCAAAGCCAAAGGAGAAATATGTTTAACCTTATTAGCTGTTTCTGACATTTCTTCCTCTTTTAGCACATAATGCATTAGAGTCTGCTGTGCTGCGACTGAAAAAGCACTTACTTGGAACACTGATTTCTCATCTTTATTCTGCAGCTGTAATAAAAGTCTGAAAACCCTGTTCCAGACTGCTTTTTCTTGCTGAACAAGGAGAACCTTCTTTCCTCAGGCTGTCTGAGGCTCTGTCACGAGCAGAAGAAATGGAGTCTAAATGCACTGGCTACTGAGAAGGCAGTTATGGAATACCTGCTTTTGACTCATGCCCTGCTTGAGTTAAAATCCATCCAAAAGCAGCACTTCCTGACAAAGTGCCCTTTGGATACGTGTCCTTATGTAATATGTAAGCTTGTATACACTTTCTAGGGACAGAAATGTATTGTTCTAGGAAAGTACTGACAATACCAAGCCTAGCACACCACCTCAAAGGTAGATTCCTGCTTCCCTTACTGTTATTCCTCAGTAACTCCTTTGAGATGCTGGGACAGAACCAGCAAGTTCCTTTGTTTACTGATTATGAAGAACTTGTTTGTTCTACCTATCCTGTAGATATTCTGAGAAATCACT